TGGCCTAAGGGAGGCAACACCCAAACATGTCATAGCTTTGGGTATATTTCACACATAAACTGGAAGTGTTAGTATGAATCAATCCAAGAATTGATTTTTGATGCATATTTATAATTATTTTGTTGCAATTAAAAAAATATTTCGCGGAATCACAAGTGTATTAAACTGTACACATGACGGGTGCCCCGGATGAGGCCGGATAAACCCACGTTTAGCGAATCATCACGATAGTGATTCATAAACACATACTCATGATATACAATCATAGTAAGTCCTACGTAGGACATAGTAAGTCCTACGTAGGACATAGTAAGTCCTACGTAGGAGATACTTAGTCCTACGTAGGAAAAGGTTTTGTCACTTTTGTAGCACTTATACCTTCAAACTACGGAAGCGTAGTAGGTCCACGGTGATTTCTTTTGTCTAAGTATCTCCTACGTAGGACTTATTATCTGCTACGTAGGACTTAGTATCTCCTACGTATGAGTTACTTTCTCTTACGTAGGACTTAGTATATCCTACGTAGGACTTGCTATCTCCTACGTAGGACTTAGTATCTCCTTCGTAGGACTTAGTATCTCCTTCGTAGGACTTACTATCTCTTACGTAGGACTTAGTATGGCATAGAATCACTATCTCCTACGTAGTAAGTCCTACGTAGGAAATACTAAGTCCTACGTAGAAGATAATTAGTCCTACGTCAGAGATACTGAGACAAAAAAAAATTCACCTTTGCCCTACTACGCTTCCGTATCAAACAGTTAACTGATAGCGTTGCAATCCCTGGTTTCCGTTCTGTATTATCATAGTGAGAATCAATGCTGTATAAGCGGGGATACTTCTCCACCTCCATTAAAAACATTACCTCATCAGTGTGTGATATTATTTTAAAGGTTTCAAAAGCAACTGATGTTTCAAAACATGTCTTGTAAAAACAATGACGTGACGTCACTGGTATGGGATTCCCCGTCGCGTCACCTTTTGAACCATCCCATCAAATTGGAGATGACGCGCTGCGTTTGTGTGGGATGCTGAGATTGAATGCATTAGGCAATGACTTTGCTGCCGACACACCGCGCTGCTTAAGTGTAGGCCGACCTCTTGACGACTGGGCCTCCACTGGTGAAGTAACTGATAGAAAGAAGGACAAAACAGTGTTGGTTTGAGGAGGCGTGTGTTTTTATGTATGTGATTATTTTGAATGTTTGGTGGTATATACCAAATACTTACGGATTTGCTCGAAACAAATATCCTATTTTGTCACATTTGGTTAGTTTCTCGTCACTTCTTGGGTAAGACCGCCTCCGTGGTCTAGTGGTAGAGCGTCCGCCCGGAGAGCGGAAGGTCCGGAGTTCGATCCCCGGCCGCGTCATACAAAAAGACGTTAAAAGATGGTACTTGTTGTTACCCAGGTCTGGCGCTCGGCATTAAGGGGCTAAAACAAGGACTGGTCGGCTCGGAGTCAGTATACTGTGTCTGAGTGGGGTATTCATGTTAAACTGCGGCATGGTATCTCAGTGAGCTAGCACTATAAATCGGCATCAGCCCGGTCTAGTACAAGCAGCCACACACACATGCACGTCGCTATATAAGTGCAATAATCTTAGACGCGACGTTAAACCCCATTTCACCTCACCTCACCTTTATGGGTAACCAAGAAAATGTTCCCCCTTGAAATGATGCTGACTCATCCCTGGTTTCCAGGGTATTCCAGAATGCTTGACGTATATCTGGGCTTTCATAGCCTTCATAGTGTCCTGGAATATGGGAAGCCCAATTTATTGGAATGCAAAAATCTATTATTTGTCATCTCAGGAACCAAACTAGCCATTTCTTTAATGACAAGAATTTTCAAGTTCCTGAGCGACCATTCATTTGAATGGGAAGCTGACATTTTTGGAAACACATGCCGCGTTTGTCACTGTGATCGTGGATATCCCCAGGATCGTTGGTTCGAATCCCACATTCGTCCTGATTATGATTCTCGGTGTGTCTGCACCATATCCATACCCTTGGATTTAAACGTGGTACAATGTCTAAGATTTGCATCACCTCGGGCTTACCTCCCCGAAAACCAATCTGACACATACATATAAATATTGTTAAACCCACCCCACTCACTGACTCGAGCCTTCTATCCAACAATGAAGTTGGCAGTACATCAACACAGAAAGTGTACTACAACTTGAAACCGGCTATACTGAGATAACATATGCTCTGTTATCTTCAAAGCCGTGTCATCATCAGACAAGCTGGAGCTAGCAGCAATGTCCCCGAGTCCAGCACTACATGAAGAGTAACACAGTCCTTGTGGTTCCCTTAAGGCGTCTCCAAGTCATCTTCAAGACCGTGATTGATCTGAAGATGTCAGTGTGCAATACGGGCCTGCTTAACTTCCTTCAGTTATATTAATTTTGCAACATCAAAGGGCGTCACTTGAGAGTATCACACAGTTCTAGTGTTATTGCCTGCCTGGTTAGGAAAATTGTCAGATAACGGCAGTATGGCCCTCTCCCATCTAATATCCTGATGTCTTCAAGTTGTCCAATCATTTGTCCACTTTGACACTTAAAATTGCACGTTTAACTAGGTTCGATCTTATTGAACGTCCTTACAAGGGAGCCAAGATAGAACACATTGTTATTTTCTGCCATCCTTCATAAAAATTGGAGAGAGAAAATTATTGTTAGAGAGAAAACAAGCCTCTGTTTACCCTTGAGAAAAGAACAGCACTAATTGCCACCGGGTTTTTTGTCATTAGTTTAGAATTTAGCATACAGGAATAGACACCTTCTTTGTGCCAGCTACGTCAGTATTGATTACGTCATCACTGTAGCGAGCTCGACTGGAGTGAACTGGAGTGGGCTCAGGCAAGGGACTGCCTCACGACTCTCCTCGATCACTACAGGTGATAAACTAGGATTAACATGCACCGGTGGCAGCCCACGCTTCTGATTCAAAGAAACCATTAAATCGATACTGTCTTGTTTTGAAGGATCTTGTAAAATGCTTACTAGTTATTAAGTTTGCTATTTATATATTGTGTCACGTCGGATCGTGGTTTAACTAGGTACAAGTTATTGTTCTGTTTGCTTGAAAAAGAATTACTTTACTATTGTGCTAGAACTGTCCTGTTTATTCAAACAACTGATTAGGACGATGATGGATATTAAATATTGCATATGTTCATAAAAGACCAATTCTGTTAATTAAATGGGCCAAATGGTAGTATTTAGGGGTACTTAAATTTGTTCATTTGTCCCGAGAAATAGGATACTATTCTAATCAAAATAAAAGGGACACATTTTGATGTGGGTATATGTTCACCTGGACGATTTCCGTTTGACTCGTGGAGTTTCACAGCAGTTATTATTCTAAACCTACTGGAAATAGCTGAGGTGAGGTGAAAAGGGGTTAACATCGCGTCCAAGATTGAACTTATATTGAGACGTGCACGCGCGCGCGCGTGTTTGTATGTGTGTGTGTGTGTGTGTGTGTGTGTGTGGCTGCTTGAGCTCGTCCGGACTGATGCCGATTTATAGTGCTAGCTCACTGAGATACCATGCCGCTGTTTAACATGAATATGCCACTCAGACACAGTATACTGACTCCGAGCCGACCAGTCCTTGTTTTAGCCCCTTAATGCCGAGCGCCAGACACGTTAACAACAAGTACCATCTGTTAATGTCTTTTTGTATGACGCGGCCGGGGATCGAACCCCCGACCTTCATCTCTCCGGGCGGACGCTCTACCACTAGACCAAGGAGGCGGTTACTGGATAACGAATCAGCTATGTAAATATTTTTTTATAACTATTCTAGTTTTAAACATATTTGGTATATTATATAAAAAAATGATCAATGTTAACATAAGCTGCTTTGAAACAGTGAATTCTTTTGTTATAACCGTTAGCGTATACCTTGGAAGGTCTCATACATGATATCCCGTGTGGAATAAAAAAGAATATCCCGAACAATTTTCTAAAATTAAATACAACAGTAGATGACATTAACATCTTCACGTATTGTGAAGGGCATGATTATACAATCAATGGTGAGGGCTCTCGTCTCCCTAGGATGCGGCTGAGGTAATTACTGACCGCGATCCCATCACAGGCTACACACGTATCTGATGTGCTCTCAGTGAGAGAATTACAGAAAGACGAAATAAGAGAAAAACGATTGGGGCTGAATCATAAAAAAGATTCCATTAACTTGATCGAACCGAATGTAAGAACGTAAATAGATTGGTTACATGAGGAACATTTCTGAGGTGGTTTTGTCTACGTAGGACGTGTACGTGAACGTCTGGACAGCATTAGGCAAAAAACACTTACTTTTTTCATTCAAATTGAGCGCGAGACAGGTGCTACCGGTATAGTAGGACATATTACCCTTTTCATGAATACCTCGAGTTTTTGCCTCTTTCCGAGGCAATGGAGTTAACAGTCCAGTTTCCACTCTTGCCGAACTAGGCTAGAATTATGGAGCTGTACTTTGGCTGGAATAACGAGTCTATGCATTGTCCAATCAACATCGCTTAACGAAAATGACATCCGGTTTGTACAACTGCGGTGCAGATTTCAGTCGATTGCAGGGGGGCCACAGATGCCCCAGTCGTCTAAGGCGCCGCGATTCGCTTTGCAGAGTTGCGACCCTTGGGCACGCCAGAAACCTATGATTGTGGGTTCGAATCCCGGTTCGCCCCGATTATGTTTCTAGCTTTGTCAGCACCATACCCGTGCTGGTGGGTTTCACCGAAGTGATAAACGTCTGAGACCTGCATCACTTCGGGTTTTCCTCCCACATTAAGCTGACACGCCGCGATATAACTGGAATACTGTTAAAAGCGGCGCTAAACCCAACTCACTCACTCACTACTTTCATATCACAGAGCACAATCAGAGCAATCAGAAGTTTTTGTTTCAAATATTGTAATGAACGTAAAGGGTGGTGTTGTATTGCATACAATTCATGAAATCAATGACGCAACAGCCAGACTCAATTATTACTTCATTTTAATTCACATAATAATCATAAATAAAGATGAATCAACTTCACAATGACGGATTATCACAGCAAAATCATGACATGAGCAAGTCAAACATTGAAATAACATGGATGGAATAGAAAAATTTGTAAAATATAGATATAATTCAAATATAATCGCTTGTATGATAGAAACAATTTCTACATATATCTAACAATACAATACGTTAAGTCAACAAACACGGACAATTATCCATTTAACTAAGCTATCAACAATTTCACTATCTTAATGCTAAGATGCGTGACAATGATTTTAAACATTCTATATGAACTATATACAATAACAGGGATCTATGAGGGCACGTACAATCCATCGAAGCTTTGTGGTAAAACACAGACTGCATTTGTTCTCATGGTATTAAATGCATCACACAGCCACAAAACAATCACATAACAATAATGTTAAAATGAAAATGAAATTTCTAACTTTTTTCACACAAGAACACACACCTTGAACTTTTTTAAATATTTAAAACAAGATACAGATCCTGTCTAAATCAAACAGTGCCTAGCCGTTTTATACAAGACAGGTATAACCAAGGTCAAGGTTAGCACCAGTGTGGGTCAATACTTGTCCATCATACGTCATCGAGTCTTGTGTACTACGTCACAGGAAATGTAGATATAACCTATGACGTCACGGATACTTAGCACCAAGGGGGAAAGCATGAGCGGCATGTTTGAAAGACGGGACAGAGAGGGAGGAGCGTTTACGGAGAAAATTACACAGCACTGAAAACCTGTTTCTCTACCATAAATTGTCAAAAAAACACTTTCACAACCTAATCAACTGTCGTAATATTTTGAGTTGATTTATAACGATTGTCTAGTAAGTTACCGTGAAAATAATGATAAATGGCATTAAGAAATGGAGCGAATGTTGAGACGAATATAATGACCGTGAGTCCATATGTACAATTTGATAAAGAACTATGAAGATCTCCAAGAGATTATTTTGTCACTATCTTTCGATTGTAATGAAACTTGTCTCCAAAACGACTTCTTAAGAACAGGTTGCCCCTTAGTCGTAATACATGTATTTATTTACCCAGAAGCTTGTTTGTGGTCCGTTTGTCCTTAAATTGAAGGTTGAATCTTGATATTTTGCTAGCAATTAAACCTGAACTATTATCCTATGTACAGCAGGGGTTATTCAGCATAGCGTCCATCATTGGCGAGACTCTTGTCATCAACAGCGTTATAGCTTGTTGAGGTTGACATGACAATATTCTGCATCTCCGAGTCTAGAGTAGGGTCATCTGGTATGTAGTAAAACTTGGAAAACACCCACATCCGGAGCCGATACAGGAAGTTGAGGATAACCTGCGCGAGCATAGCCTGGAGCACGCAGAGAACACAGGTAATGACAGCCTCGACCGGCTTGTTCCAGTTCATGAAGTTATAAGCGTAATGTCTCTCTTCACGAGAATCCGTCACAGTGCCGTCGTTGAGGAAGTAGATAGCGTTGAAGAGGGCGTAGACGGAGCCGAGTGTTATTGTCATGAACATGTGCAACACGCGTAGCGGGGCGCCAGTGATCATGACGTCAATGATGACGTACACAGTATTCATGGTATGCTTGACTCGGCTCATCGGGGTTGCCAGCAGCTCTGTAACCAGGAAAAATAGACGTGTTAGCGCCATTGATGTAACAGCAATATTGAATGGGTTAATGCTGCAAGAGAAAGACAGTAATCAGATATCGCATTTATCTCGTTACCGTACTTGGTGAGTTTAACATTCCGTTAGTACAACCATCTAGTGAAAGGTGTGTGAGTGAGTGAGTTGGGGTTAACGCCGCTTTTAACAGTATTCCAGTCATATCACGGCGTGTCAGTTTAATGTGGGAGGAAAGCCGGAAGTGATGCAGGTCTCAGACGTTTACCACTTCGGTGAAACCCACGAGCACGGGTGTGGTGCTGACAAACCTACAAACATAATCGGGGCGAACCGGGATTCGAACCCACAATCATAGGTTTCTGGTGTGTCCAAGGGACGCAACTCTGCACAGCGAATCGCGGCGCCTTAGACGACTGGGCCACCCGTGCCCCCTACTGAAAGGTGTGTGACAGAAAGGTTTCCAGGTAACTTTTTGAAGGACATGACCGACCCAGTTATCAGCAGAAACCGAGATGACAGCACGTTACAGGCAGTTTTGAATCACAATAAGATATATGGTAACCGCATTTCTGTGAAGTTGGGTTATTACAAAGTAATTACAAAGTAAGATTTAACCGGATAATGCAGTTATATGAAAAAAGTAAAATTAAACCGGCTAATGCAGTTATATAAAAATGTAAGATTAAACCAGCTTATGCGGTTATGTTAAAAAGTAGGACTAAACCGGCTACTGCAGTTATATAACAAAGTAAGATCGAACCGGCTACTACCAGTTACATGAAAAAGTAAGATTAAACAGGCTACTACAGTTATATAACAAAGTAAATTCTACCCGCTTCTACCGCAATATAACAAAGAACGTTTACACCTGCTAATACGGTAACATAAAATGTAAGATTAAGCCGGCTACTACAGTTATATAACAAAGTAAGATTAAGCCGACTACTACAGTTTTATAACAAAGTAAGATTAAACCGGTAACTGCCAGTTATATTACAAAGTAAGATTTAACCGGCTACTGCAGTTATATAACAAAGTAAGATTAAACCGAATACTGCCAGTTATAAAAAAAAGTAAGATTAAACCGGCTACTGCCAGTTATATAACAAAGTAAGATTTAACCGGCTACTGCAGTTATATAACAAAGGATGATTATACCGGTTTTTACCAATAATATAGGAAAGAAAATTTACACCAGCTAATGCGGTTACATAAAATGTAAGATTTAACCGGCTACTGCAGTTATATAACAAAGTAAGATTAAACCCGTTACTGCCAGTTTTATAACAAAGTTAGATTAAACCGGCTACTGCCAGTTATATAAAAAAGTAAGATTAAACCGGCTACTGCAGTTATATAACAAAGTAAGATTTAACCGGCTACTGCAGTTATATAACAAAGTAAGATTAAACCGGCTACTGCCAGTTATATAACAAAGTAAGATTAAACCGGCTACTGCCAGTTATATAAAAAAAGTAAGATTAAACCGACTGCTGCCAGTTATAAAACAAAGGATGATAAAACCGGCTTCTACCAGTAATCTAACAAAGTAAGTTAACACCGAGTAATGCGGTTATATAAAAAATAAGATTAAACCGGCTACTAACAATTTCATAACAAGACGACAAGGAAACTAGTCATCAGCAAGATCTGCCACAATCAACCGCTTGTCCTGGTGACCCTGTCATGGTGGCGCAAGTTTACGTTCAGAACGCTTACATAACCAGATGCAAATGTTTGTCCTCTACAATGGCGTGTCATGGCAAGTCACTTGACACAAGGAAAGGTGAGTACTACTGACTCCTCTGTGACGCCACACAATAAGTAAGTGCACTATGCTGAGGTCACTGTGTGTAGTGGAATCCGACTCTGGTGAATTGATTCAATACCGCAAAGTGACAATTGAGTTGTTGAACATTGGCAGTAGCTGAAAACTATTAATTGATTTTGCAAATTATTGACAAACTGAAGTCAATTTCTAGCAACCTTATAAACAGACACGCTAGATCCGGAAATGTAGTTCTGTCATCGTCGGCATTGTGATAATACACGTATTGATTTCCTAAAGGCACAAATTGAAGTCATTTAAAGGTCTGCAGCCTTTGCAAAGAGGATAATTTGCCATCACTTGAAATCGCCAACAGCTTGACATCTAACTAACGAATGCAAAAGGTCCATATATTTCAAATAGGACTATGTCGTGCTGGTGGTAGTGATCAGATGTTTACCATGAGTGAGTGAGTTGGGTTTAACGACGCTTTTAACTGTATTCCAGTTATATCGCGGCGTGTCAGCTTAATGTGGGAGGAAAGGCCGAAGTGATGCAGGTCTCAGACATTTACCACTTCGGTGAAACCCACGAGCATGGTATGGTGCTGACAAACCTAGAAACATAATCGGGGCGAACCGGGATTCGAACCCACAATCATAGGTTTCCGGCGTGCCAAAGGGACGCAACTCTGCACAGCGAATCGCGGCGCCTTAGACGACTGGGCCACCCGTGCCCCCTACCATGGGAGAAACAATAAACCTGAATTAATATTGCAGTGTGGAATACAAACATCTTTAACGTAGCACCTTTTTATTGATAATACATTTTGCAAACACAGTGACTACAATTATAGTTATATATAACGATATTTTGTACAAGTGGATATACAATGTACGTTCCGACTAGTCATAGATTGCTGACGTATAACAACATCCACTCGAATAGCCTGTGGACACAGTTACTTCTATGTGGCGTAAGTGAAGTACGCGTCAAACTTCCACCGTGTAATATGGCTACTGGGTGGTACGTTAGGAAGATATGAACACAGTGAATAACACTTGATTGATTTTCCTTATACAGCTAATGACTGACGGATATAATGGGTATTGGGCTTGGATCAACTGGAATGTGTGTGGGCGTGTATGTGGTGTGGTTATCTGGAGACAAATTACAGCTCAGATCAAACGAACGCCACAATCAAACACTGAACCACACACAATGTATGGTGAAGCTTCTATTAAGCATTTTAATCGAATTACTTAAGAGTCTGTTGAATGAGCATTGAGTGTATGTTGCGTGAATGTCGACTGCGCGGATGCCTGGTGAGTATGTGTTCATTTAGCCGTATGGTGGATGATTTATTGCCAGTTTACCTGTAAGGCGTAGGTGTCAGTGTTGAATAATTCGGATGTCTGACTAGAAACTATAGATTATTGTTTAATGACTTACTCGTAAGACTGATGAATTGATATTAATCTTCCCGGATATCTGATCGTTAAATGTCAACTTCAAGTATGTCTGAGTACACAGAGTACTTGTTGACTCACATGGATCTCCACAAGTGTTGGCCTACTGTGTGTCACATGAGTAATTGTTGACTTACTGTATGTCCGATGAGTAATTGTTGACGCTCATGGATCGCCACAAGTGTTGGCCTACTGTGTGTCAGATGCGTAACTGTTGACGCACATGGATATCCACAAGTGTTGGCCTACTGTACGTCACATGAGTAATTGTTGACTCACATGGATCTCCACAAGTGATGGCCTACTGTGTGTCACATGAGTAATTGTTGACTCACATGGATCTCCACAAGGGATGGCCTACTGTGTGTCACATGAGTAATTGTTGACTTACTGTATGTCCGATGAGTAATTGTTGACGCTCATGGATCTCCACAAGTGTTGGCCTACTGTGTGTCACATGAGTAGTTGTTGAGTCACATGGATATCCACCAGTGTTGGCCTACTGTGGGTCACATGAGTAATTGTTGACTCACATGGATCTCCACAAGTGATGGCCTACTGTACGTCACATGAGTAATTGTTGACGCACATGGATCTTCACAAGTGTTGACCTACTGTACGTCACATGAGTAATTGTTGACTCACATGGATCTTCACAAGTGTTGACCTACTGTACGTCACATGAGTAATTGTTGACTCACATGGATCTCCACAAGTGATGGCCTACTGTGTGTCACATGAGTAATTGTTGACTCACATGGATCTCCACAAGGGATGGCCTACTGTGTGTCACATGAGTAATTGTTGACTTACTGTATGTCCGATGAGTAATTGTTGACTCACATGGATCTTCACAAGTGTTGACCTACTGTGTGTCACATGAGTAATTGTTGACGCACATGGATCTCCACAAGGGATGGCCTACTGTGTGTCACATGAGTAATTGTTGACTTACTGTATGTCCGATGAGTAATTGTTGACGCACATGGATCTTCACAAGTGTTGACCTACTGTACGTCACATGAGTAATTGTTGACTCACATGGATCTTCACAAGTGTTGACCTACTGTACGTCACATGAGTAATTGTTGACTCACATGGATCTCCACAAGTGATGGCCTACTGTGTGTCACATGAGTAATTGTTGACTCACATGGATCTCCACAAGGGATGGCCTACTGTGTGTCACATGAGTAATTGTTGACTTACTGTATGTCCGATGAGTAATTGTTGACTCACATGGATCTTCACAAGTGTTGACCTACTGTGTGTCACATGAGTAATTGTTGACGCACATGGATCTTCACAAGTGTTGACCTACTGTACGTCACATGAGTAATTGTTGACTCACATGGATCTCCACAAGTGTTGACCTACTGTGTGTCACATGAGTAATTGTTGACGCACATGGATCTCCACAAGTGTTGACCTACTTTACGTCACATGAGTAATTGTTGACTCACATGGATCTCCACAAGTGTTGACCTACTGTACGTCACATGAGTAATTGTTGACTCACATGGATCTCCACAAATATTTTACCTACTGTACGTCACATGAGTAATTGTTGACTCACACGGATCTTCACAAGTGTTGACCTATTGTATGTCACATGAGTAATTGTTGACATATATGGATCCCCAGAAACAAAGTGTCGGCTTACCCGAATGTGAGAAGAAGGCGACGAACGACCAGTAGGACATGGTGACCACAATGGCGGAGTTACAGCTCAGATTGTAGATGATCCACTGAAGACGTAGAACAATGGGCATGCTCCTCGGGTACATAGGGTCTGCAGATAGGACAAAGCACACACTTAAACATCAAAAGGATTCAAAATGTGAAGACATGTGCAACAAAACAACGAATACAATGTCAAAGTGTTGAGGAACGGCGATTACTTGCACATGTTGGTTAGAGTTAGTGTGTTGAGAATGGCGTCTTCAGAGTCTTGTTCACAACCAGTAGCCAAGTGTACCAAGTAGGTGTAGGTTCTAACACCGTTATCAAGCTTCACTTGCTAGAACCTACACCGAAACGTCGCTCTTAATTGTAATGAAGAAGTTGTTCATCCATAAATCTTATCCTTGGCCAATATTTTGGTGCAATATTGCATTACTTTAAAGAATATTCTTTTTAAATTTTGTTTCAAGGAAGAGGTGAGGTGAGGTGAAATGGGGTTTAACGTCGCGTCCCAGATTATTGCACTTATATAGCGACGTGCATGCATGCATGTGTGTGTGTGTGTGTGTGTGTGTGTGTGTGTGTGTGTGTGTGTGTGTGTGTGTGTGTGTGTGTGTGTGTGTGTGTGTGTGTGTGTGTGTGGTTGCTTGTACTAGTCCGTCCGGATTGATGCCGATTTATAGTGTAGCACACTGAGATACCATGCCTCAGTTTAACATGAATACTCCACCCAGACACAGTATATTGACTCCGAACCGACCAGTTAATGCTGAGCGCCAGGCAGGGTAACAACACGTACCACCTTTTAACGTCTTTTGGTATGACGCGGCCGGGGATCGAACCTCCGACCTTCATCACTCCCGCAGACGCTCTATCACTAGAAATTGCTGGTGTCACCACCGTGATATTGCTGGAATATTGCTAAAAGCGGCGTAAAACCATACTCACTCACTGTACAACTAGACAATGAGGCGGTCATCAAGGAAAAGATTATGATAACGTTATGTGCGGTAGAGCACTCGTGATGAAAGGATGCGTTCCTGTACGCCGGTCCAAGGTCATACCGGACACAAGTTCTAGCGTTTATTGCTGTGTCAGCAACCTTCAAACCATTCCAGACGACCAAGGTTAAACAAGGTGTCCCATCAAATGTACGCGCGGTGTGACCTTTTACGACATTATTCACCCGATATCCTGCATCTAGACAGCGTTCATTAGACCAATCAATAGATTGTGCATATAACGCCCCTAATGAATCAGATAACAGCCAAACAGGTATTGTCACCTAGCTTGAATTATTTGCCGTAACAACTAACGATTGCCCACACACAAAACCAGACAGTTTAATGCCCGTCACCATCATCGACTGGAGGCGATCCTCAAAGCCACATTGATTCCTAATAAGCACAATGTTATCACGCAGATCGTATTATTCTATATTACACACATAAATGATATTGCCTAACCCGAATTACTGGCCCTGAATCGGAATGACAGAAGAATCCATCTCAGGGGCTCGAAGGGAATTACATGCAAATGCGCGTCGGCAATGCTTTCCGCGGGTATCGTTGTTTATAATGGCCGGGAAAACTAACTTGTTGCGTGAAAACTGTATGGTGTGACCTTCGTGTGCCTTCTAAACGTGATGCAAGGAGATGGTCCTGTGGTCCAAGTCAACACGCTTTGCCTATATTTTCTCAGTTAAGATCCACTTGTCGTGGGTTTGAATCCCAAATTCGTTCCGATTTTGAGTCTTGGCCTTAGCACTATATCTATGGGGCCCTTGAAGATCCGGGGTTGAAGAGGTCTTTAGTAACCCATGCTTGCTATAAAAGACGACTATGCTTGTCGTAAGAGGCGACCAACGGGATCGGGTGGTCAGAGTGCGGCGTTAAACAAACAAACCATATCCGTGGTCAGGGGTTTTCACCAAAGAGCTAACCGTTTTGGGAATCTCTGTGGTAAAGTTATCCATAAAACCGATATAATGATATAACTGAACGTAATTTGTATTCTGTCGCCCACTCCCCATACGTCGCTTTGAGGAAAGTACACGTCTCTTATCAATCTGGAATTTAAACGCCATTCCTGTAACTTGTCAGCGTTTTCTTCTGTTCGTTCATGTAAATTTGCAAATATTAGTTCTGTGCGTTGTCTTTGATCACTGAAATAATTCCTGGTTTTGCCGTGGAATAGAAACACTAATGCATTAACCACCCTACCACTTTTTGTTCTATGAAGAATTAGAACGCCGTTGGCATCCCGAAAACTAATTATGCAATTTGTGGCGTTTGATCATAACTAAATAACGAGATTTGCTATGAAATTATAGCCAGTTCCAATGTCATAATCATTACGCTTTTCGCTGCGTCCATAAAAGGCGGAAACAGAACAATACGTCCAGCCTTATCAAGAATAACGCCGACTGCATCGCTGAGGAAGTTTTGTTTGTTTGTTTGTTGTTTATGTTTAACGCCGCACTCAGCAAATATTTCAGCAATATGACGGCGGTCTGTAAATAATCGAGTCTGGACAAGACAATCCAGTGATTGACATCATGAGCACCGATCCACCCAATTGGGACACGACATGCATCAACCAAGTTAGGGAGCCTGACCACCCGACCCCTTGAGTCGCTTCGTAAGACAAACATAGCCACGTTTTACGGCAGGCATGGGATGCTGAAGACCTTTCCTACCCCGGATCTTCACGGGTCCGCTGAGGAAGTAGTATGGTAGAAAAACTAATGAATATTGCAATTAAGAGACTAGAGATTTTCAGTATTAAGTAACGGCGGCAACAGCCCTTCCATAGGACCGCCTATAAAATAGTGATGATACCAGGTGTTCGCGAAAAGATGAGCGTATCCTGCCCAACGGGTGGCACACATCACAAACACATGCAAAGGTAAGTCAACTGTTCACCTGAAAACAACAACATGGGAACATATGGTCCAAGTCAAAATAGGGAATTATGTTCGTCACTGATCTAAATCTATTAATGTCTCCACATGCCATGGCCAACCTTTCACTGATCAACTCTCAAGTTTGCTCTGACACTTTAATGACAGTTTAATGAATTATCTGTTTTGGAACTAAATTTCACAATACATGTATATAGTTATTCCCAGAAATGACCATCGCCAAAACGCCTTGATACCAGTGCTGTATGATACCCACACGGGACCTATGACAGGATACGTGTGAGTGAGTGAGTATGGTTTTACGCCGCTTTTAGCAATATTCCAGCAATATCACGGTGGGGGACACCAGAAATGGGCTTCACACAGTGTACCCATGTCGGGATTCGAACCCGGGTCTTCGGCGTGACGAGCGAACGCTTTAACCACAAGGCTACCCGACCGCCCCCAGGATACGTGTGATGACGATACCCAGTATGTAGGGTATGGTGACATTGTCCGCTAACACATTTATGACGGGCACGAGTTACCCAACCTTGATCATGTAGTTTATCCGCGACTGTTCCTCAGCTCGGGACATAAGTGTATTCGCCCTAACACAGATTAATGGTGTTTATTAGGAATCAAAGAACAAAAGCTCCTTTGGGAAGAATTTCAGTGAATTGCCCAGCGCTGCTCGACAGCTTGCGTCGAAGAAATCGATTAGGAATTTGAATATTTACCGTGCGTATGGATTGAATGTGTAATGTGAAAGTTTTTACTGATACAGCAGACATGTGGTGGTAAATCAAGATGAATTATGAACAATCAGCAGTTATTTTGCATCAGCATCGGGACTAAGTGGTTTGGTATGGACGTATGGCTCGGAGATAATATTGTTCTGAATTACTGATATTTGTGTGTGTTCCATCAATCTTGAAGCTGGTAATCTGTTACGGTTGTCCCTGTGTTAAAGGGTCAGTACTTACTTGAGTTGCGGTGCTAGAACCTGCTTCATACCTCTATCCCCGATGAACAATGTGTTACCCATAGAAAACACAGTCTTGCTTGTCCCACATGGACCTACCCAACACCCTTCCAGTTTAACTGAAGCCCTCCCGGATGCACCAACACAATTCAATTCTACCTTTCTCCTATCGGTCAATCTTCGACTCTCACGTGTACATCCCTTCCCACGTCCTTCAAATCTACCGCACACCATCTAGGCTCAGGTCCGCTCTTCAAGGTTACCCAATGTCCTTCAGGCGTGTTCAAGTCTACCAGATACACATCAGGCATATCCTATGCTCTTCAAATCTACCCTACGTCCTTCAGGCGTAATCCCCACATATTTTCTATACGCTTCAAGTCTACCCCACACCTTCAGGCGTAATATCCTATCTTCAAGTCTTCCCCACACCTTCAGGCGTCATATCATATCTTCAAGTCTACCCCACACCTTCAGGCGTAATCCCCACTCTTCAAGTCTAACCCTACGTCCACCAGACATGCCATACGTTCTTTAAGTCTACCCTACGTCCACCAGACATACCACACGCTCTTCAAGTCTACCCAACGTCCACCAGGCATACCACACGCTCTTCAAGTCTACCCTACGTCCACCAGGCTTACCACACGCTCTTCAAGTCTACCCTACGTCCACCAGACTTACCACACGCTCTTCAAGTCTACCTTACGTCCACCAGACTTACCACACGCTCTTCAAGTCTACCCTACGTCCACCAGACTTACCACACGCTCTTCAAGTCTACCCTACGTCCACCAGGCTTACCACACGCTCTTCAAGTCTACCTTACGTCCACCAGACTTACCACACGCTCTTCAAGTCTACCCAACGCCCACCATCACTATTCAATAGCGACACGTGGCAATGAAGATTATGGAATTTGTCGCATTTATTTCACTGTCAAGACCTGTCTAGGCTTCCAATTCGAATTTTGCCCTTATGATGAGACGTGCTGGTGAGTTCAATCTCCTGTTACCACACAGTAACCAGAAACGAAAAGACATACATGAAATACTGGTCTAAATGGTCCGAACTCAACCTACTCACTCACTCACTCCAATTACGTATTTACAAACAGCAATAGCATGTGCTTGGAGTTGTCGCGTGTTAACTCGCGGTGAGGTGTGCCATGATATTGCAAAGATTACTGTCATCAACGCATCACTAACGAACTCTTCTTTACTCCGTATCATTATAATACTGTCATCCTCCGCATTTCAGGATAAAGGACCTTAAAAAGTTTCTCTAATCACGTATTAAATACGATCCGGGAGCAGATGGCCCTAACGTCCTGCTTTACATTTGGATAACCTCTTTCATGCAGAAATCCAAAAATTATACCTTGATCAATAATTTACAATACAATTATATTTTTTTCTATACCGCCCAGTGTTTGTTGCAGGGAGAAGGACCATACTTGAAGCCCCACATGACGTGAGAGAGGCACAGGGCCCTTGGGGACATGCAAGAGCACTACGGGGGACCAATTGTCAACATGAAGGACGAGCTCTGCTCAGATGATACCAGGTTATGAGAATGAAACGGATGCTAGTTAGGCTATTGGAAAAATTCGTATTGGCTCGGACAATAAAGTTAATCCGGTAAAACACACTGAAAAATCGCTATGTGTGCATATCAATATGCCAAGAGAAAGCTAATTTGAAAATCAAAACTCTGGGCACGGTTTTCAAAGGAACTGACTTCCAAAATGTAAATTCTTAATTCAATGTTTGGAAGACGCCTCATTTACCCCCGGTAATCTATTTGACTATCAGGCTTGGCTTCCCAAAGATAACTATTGATTAAGACCAAGTCGATCACAGTCTCGTCTATCATTCATTCTTGGGCGATATAACCAACAAAATTTCATGGCAGTTCACGTTGCGTTTGATTTTTAGGAAAATAACGTCAAACCGAAACATTAAGAAATCATAATACTCTAGGTGCAGTTAATATTGCGTTCATTAAGTAGCAAATACTGTCATTTCGTCGGTGTGAAGGTATATTCTGCAATGATAGTTTTATTCCTGAGCAATAGTCCAGATGCAGCCGTTACAGTAGATAACAGGCTTTCCTAACCATCTTATCTAAGCTCAGGCTGCACGGCACATTTTTTTTGGTACTCATACTTTGAAAGAGTGAGTGAGTAGGGTTTTACGCCGCTTTCAGCAATATTCCAGCAATATCACGGCGGGAGACACCAAAAACACATTGTACCCATGTCGGGAATCGAACCCGGGTCTTCAGCGTGACGAGCAAACGATTTAACCACTAGGCTACCCGACCGCCCTACTTTGAAAGACATGTGGTATGTAACAATGATTAATTTCATGAATGTTGAAATAATATAAAACAGCTAGCTGTCTTCCAGCTTTAAAGTGTGAGAGGCCTTTGCAAACACGAGTTGGGTTTAACTGTTTCATTTATGCTTATACACGTTTCATAAACGTTGATAAATGTTTGTTGGCGCGGAGCCTAATATTCGTACACTGTTAGAAAAAAACACAAATTAAATATGCAGATATTCTTGTGATGCATGAATAATAAAATTGGGTTTCCCGGAATGTTTCCAGGAAGAACTATCAATCAGCTCATTAAAAAATGATGGCAGCGCAAAACCTTGACATTTATACTACATTCACAACTAGCCTCAGGGCTAGTTGATTAATTTGATGAAATGACAATTGATGTGGTTGAGTGGTTGAGTGGTTGAGTAAGAGAGAGTATTTCGTGACGGATGATTAATTTCGACATAAGACTGAGTAGTGGAGACAGGTGTATCATTTAAAGATACATAAATGCCGTATGATATTTATATATGACCTGATATGACCGGTATGATCAGATAGATTTATTTATTATAAATAGTTTTTGTTTCAGGAAGTGATAGTTTCTGTTTCAGGAAGTGATAAACCCTGACAGACTGTTGCAGGATGATTATAAGGACTACCAAAATATCACGGAGTCACTTCGCCCAAAGCCAGGAGCTTGTAACACCAGGTGTCTGTCACGTGACGTGCTTGTGATGGAAGCTCTAGGACGGACGCGCATGACTTCCCAGTTGAACAGTTTCTAACAGATGACGTTATGGCAAACGTGAATCCTAACATTGTAAGGGCATGTTTCATGAGTAGAACGTGAACGCGGTGCTCAGGTAGAGGTACTGTTCTACATTGTTACGTGTGGGTTATGTATTTGGTCGTTGCTGCGTTTTTGATGACATGTTTAGCTTGTACCAAATGACATCATATTTATGGACCGCCTCCCTGGTGTAGTGGATAGAGCGTCTGCAGGAAAGAATAAGGTCGAGGGTTCGATTCCCAGCCGCGTCATACCAAAAGATGTTAAAAATGGTACTTCTTGTTACCCTGCCTGGCGCTCGGCATTAAGGGTCTAAAACAAGGACTGGTCGGCTCGGAGTCAGTATACTGTGTCTGAGTGGGGTATTCATGTTAAACTGCGGCATGGTATCTCAGTGGGCTAGCACTATAAAGTGGGCATCAGTCCGCATGCATCAGGAGCATGGGTGGCCCAGTCGTCTAAGGTTCCGCAATTCGCTTTGCAGAGTTGCGCCCCTTGGGCACACCAGAAACCTATGATTTTAGGTTCGAATTCTGGTTCTCCCCTATTATGTTTCTAGGTTTGTCAGCACCATACCCATATATGTGGTTTTCACCAAAGTGGTAAAAGTTTAAATTACTTCGGGCTTTCTTCCCATATGAAGCTGACACGCCATGATATAACTGGAATACTGTTCAAAGCGGCGTTAAACCCAACTCACTCACTCATGCATGTACCAATATCACCTAGTCTTGGTTTTGAAGACTATATTTAATACAGACTGCATGCAATGTCTTACCCATAATCCAGTATGGTCGACATGTATATACGGCAACTGTGCAGGCGTTGTATATCGCCGACAGCGCCAGAAGGAGGAAGCTCCAGTTGGTGGCAAATATAAACCACTTCCATACTTTGTAGTCGTAGAAGGTGGTGGACTCGTACGTAATGTCTGCTGCGCACCAGCCCGTGATCGCCACCGCTATCAGCGCCCGGTACACCACGTAGAAGCGCTGCCTCACCGGCCACTGCAAGGAGAAGAGAAGACATAGGGATAAATAACACGTGGTGCCAGGGAGGAAGAGGTAAAGTGAGTGAGTATGGTTTTACGCCGCTTTTAGCTGTATTCCAGCAATATCACGGCCCATGTCGGGAATCGAACCCGGGTCTTCGGCGTGACGAGCGAACGCTTTAACCGCCAGGCTACCCGACCGCCCCCCGAAGAGGAAAAAAGAGTTCTATGTGACTATTGTGTGTACAAATGTCACTACTACAACCACTACTACTTCACCTCCTGCTGCTAATACTACTTCAGGGGAGGTCGGGTAGCCTAGTGGTTAAACCATTCTCTCGTCACGCCGGAGACCCGGGTTCGATTCCCGATATGGGTACAATGTGTGAAGCCCAATTCTGGTGTTCCCCGCCTTGATATTGCTGGAATTTTGCTAAAAGCGGCGTAAAATCAAACTCACTCACTAATATTACTTCTGTTGCTGCTGCTGCTACCGCTTCTACTACTACTACTACTACTACTACTACTACTACTACTACTACTACTACTACTACTACTCTTTAAACAAAGACTCGTTGACATCTTCGTTCACAATTTGTCGGAACATATTAGTTCCTCTCACATTCTTTCACATTATATACTTCCAATAAATCTGTGTTTGAACCTGAGAAATATTTAACATTAAATGATCAATCCCTTCCACGAGTGATCTGTAAGTTTAGAATCTCATTACATTGTTAAAAAATACAAGATATCAGGAAGAACAAAGACATAGACTAGACTATTCAAATAATATTTGTACATATTGTAAATCTGGGTCCATTGAAGACGAGTTCCATGTTCTATTTATCTGCGATACCTTTGCTCCCCAAAGTAAAAACTATTTGGAACATTTAGAAAATACGTAAATCACCAAGTAATGTACAATTTACTCAACGCAAAGTATGTACATACTATTAAGTACGTAGCCATCTTTATCAAACACATTTTCAAAAGATTTCAAAGAGTCATCGTATCCCGATTCCGAGGATCGATGCTCATGAGGTCAATCACTGGATTGCCTGATCCAGACTCGATTATTTACAGACCGCCGTCATATAGCTGGAATATCGCTAAGTACGGCGTCAGACAACAAACAAATAAATAAATAAAATCTTCGTATTATCACCCACTCGATTACTTGAAGGCAGCAGAGATAGTGCCGGAATAGTGTTGGGTGTGGCGCAAAACAAGCACCAGAGTCATAATAGTTGTTGTTTTCACATGTAGATACGATCAGGTAGGTGTGTCTTATCTTCTACTGCGAACAATGATGGACGCCAGGCAATGCGTGGGCAACAGCTGGTGTTTGTGTGTGTCAGTATTACCGTTATTGCAACCCGATCAAATAATGTATTGTGTAAATAAATTCTAAGTCGCAACCACACAAGATACTCTATGACAATAGCACACATCTCCCCATATTGTCCCCTCGTGCATAGCACAAGGCAGATGAGGTATTTTAATTAAACACAAACAACCACAAACAACCACAAACAAAGTAAAAACGGAACATTTAAAAAGGTTTTCAATGATGGCAATTTAGATCCAGTGAAGTGCATAGTCAGTGCATGTGACCTTCTGTCTGCATGGATTATGTAGTATAACCTTCTGTCCACATGGATAGTGTAGTGTAACCTTCTGTCTACATGGATAGTGTAGTGTTAACTTCTGTCTACATGGATAGTGTAGTGTAACCTGCTGTCAACATGGATAGTGTAGTGTAAACTTCTGTCTACATGTATAGTGTAGCGTAACCGTATGTCTACATGGATAGACAAGTATAACCTTCTGTCCACATGGATAGACAAGTATAACCTTCTGTCCACATGGATAGACAAGTATAACCTTCTGTCCACATGGATAGTGTAGTGTAACCTTCTGTCCACATGGATAGTGTAGTGTTACCTTCTGTCCACATGGATAGTGTAGTATAACCTTCTGTCTACATGGATAGACAAGTATAACCTTCTGTCTACATGGATAGTGTAGTGTAACCTGCTGTCAACATGGATAGTGTAGTGTAAACTTCTGTCTACATGGATAGTGTAGGGTAACCTTATGTCTACATGGATAGACAAGTATAACCTTCTGTCTACATGGATAGTGTAGTATAACCTTCTGTCCACATGGATAGTGTAGTATAACCTTCTGTCCACATGGATAGTGTAGTGTGACCTTCTGTCCACATGGATAGTGTAGTGTAAACTTCTGTATACATGGATAGACAAGTATAACCTTCTGTCTACATGGATAGTGTAGTATAACCTTCTGTCTACATGGATAGTGTAGTATAACCTTCTGTCTACATGGATAGTGTAGTATAACCTTCTGTCTACATTGATAGAGTAGTATAACCTTCTGTCTACATGGATAGTGTAGTGTAACCTGCTGCCAACATGCATAGTGTAGTGTAAACTTCTGTCTACATGGATAGTGTAGTGTAACCTTCTGTCTACATGGATAGTGTAGTATAACCTTCTGTCTACATGGATAGTGTAGTATAACCTTCTGTCTACATTGATAGAGTAGTATAACCTTCTGTCTACATGGATAGTGTAGTGTAACCTGCTGCCAACATGCATAGTGTAGTGTAAACTTCTGTCTACATGGATAGTGTAGTATAACCTTCTGTCTACATGGATAGTGTAGCATAACCTTCTGTCTACATGGATAGTGTAGTGTAACCTGCTGTCAACATGGATAGACAAGTATAACCTTCTGTCTACATGGATAGTGTAGTGTAACCTTCTGTCAACATGGATAGTGTAGTGTAACCTTCTGTCAACATGGATAGTGTAGTGTAACCTTCTGTCAACATGGATAGTGTAGTGTAACCTTCTGTCAACATGGATAGTGTAGTGTAACCTTCTGTCAACATGGATAGTGTAGTGTAACCTTCTGTCAACATGGATAGCGTAGTGTAACCTTCTGTCCACATGGATAGTGTAGTGTAACCTTCTGTCAACATGGATAGTGTAGTGTAACCTTCTGTCTACATGGATAGTGTAGTGTAACCTTCTGTCAACATGGATAGTGTAGTGTGACCCTCTGTCTACATGGATAGTGTAGTGTAACCTTCTGTCAACATGGATAGTGTAGTGTGACCCTCTGTCTACATGGATAGTGTAGTGTAACCTTCTGTCCACATGGATAGTGTAGTGTAACCTTCTGTCTACATGGATAGACAAGTATAACCTTCTGTCTACATGGATAGACAAGTATAACCTTCTGTCTACATGGATAGTGTAGTGTAACCTTCTGTCCACATGGATAGTGTAGTGTAACCTTCTGTCTACATGGATAGACAAGTATAACCTTCTGTCTACATGGATAGACAAGTATAACCTTCTGTCTACATGGATAGACAAGTATAACCTTCTGTCTACATGGATAGTGTAGTGTAACCTTCTGTCTACATGGATGGTGTAGTGTAACCTTCTGTCTGCATGGATTGTGTAGTTTAACCTTCAGTGCACAAGGATAGACGAGTATAACCTCCTGTCTCAATGTTTAAAGAGACACGATTGGTACGGATGGTAATTGAAGCTCTCGGGTTTATTTTTCACATCCCAAATGACCACCAGAGAGGTAGACAGAAATTACCGCCCTAATTAGCACGCGTTGATCATTCCACGGCGCACACCTGAACGGAGGATCTGTTGTTGTTCATTTAACGTGCACGACTCATACATCGGAGGTTGTCTGAGCACTATTTCTACAACATTTCAGGTTGATTTCGGAATACTAAAATATTCTCGGGATTATGTTCGTGTCATAGTCAGCAGCCTGTGCTCGGCCATCTCTACATAGTTATCCTAATAACCTTGTACCTTCAAAGCATTAAGGACTATAGGTTGGAATGAAAACATAGCATAATAGTTTAACATATTTTACAACTCTTTTTTTAACTGTCTTATGTTATGGCATCATTAAAACCTTCAGAAAAAACGTTCACAGAGAGTTACATTCATAAATAAAAGCAACAAAACCCTTTCTATAATCTTAAAAAAATCTGCTAAAAGCAGAGTCCGTTGCACGAAATCGTTTGAATAACTGTTAACTGCGTACAGCATTCTGGCAAATAAGGTGAGGTGAAATGGAGTTTAACGTCGCGTCCAAGATTATCGCACTTATAAAGCGACGTGCATGCACTTGTGTGTGTGTGGCTGCTTGTGCTTGTCCGGACTGAGGCCGAATTATAGTGCTAGTCCGCTGAGATACCATGCCTCAGTTTAACATGAAAGCCCCGCTCACACACAGTATGTTGGCTCCGAGTCGATCATTCCTTGTTTTAGTCCCTTAATGCCGAGCGCCAGACAGGGTAACAACAAGTATCATCTTTTAACGGTCTTTTTTTTTTTGGGGGGGGGGGGGGGGGGTATGACGCAGCCGGGGATCGAACCCCGCACCTTCGAATTCGGCTTTCCGGGCGGACGCTCTACCACTAGACCACGGTGACGGTCTGCACATTGGAAGTGTTTATGAATCACTATCAAATAGTGGTGACACCATGTGATGGTTAGATCCTTCATATTCCTGTTTTATATTTTCTTGATCCATAAACATGTACAGAATTACTTTTACAGCCTAATCATGTAACCTAAACATTTCCTGGACCAAACCATGATTCAAATAAATAGAATCATGGTTGGGTTTGCAGGCCTTTCTATCAAGAATGTTAACCGGGACAGTTGCTCCGCGATGGTGTAAACAGTCACACTTAAAGTAAAAGTACAAAACAATGAGACAGTATCAACACAAAGGACATCCGAGGTAAAACGTGTCAGTTCATATAGGTACCTATCTACAACCAATGGCTCAAACTAAAATGAACACCCACAATAGTCAGGGAATACAAAGTGTAAATATATTCAAATTGGAATATATTAAAGTATCATTTTATCTGATTGATCACTATTACACAATTATCAACAATTCTTTACTAACTAATGCATATCCTTGTCCTATGCTAGA